CAGACAACGGCACGCACTTCACCGCCAAAATAGCTCAAGAGTGGGCGGCTCGGGAAGGGATTTTGTGGGTGTTCCACACCCCGTATTATCCACAGGCAAATGGGATTGTGGAACGGACCAACGGGCTGCTTAAGCGCTTTCTAAAACCCCACCAACCGGGATGGGCCGAGCGGGTGGGGGAGGCAGTGACCAGTGTCAATAATCGCTGGGGTACAAACGGGTGACATCTGACCGATTCCAGCGTCTTAATCTCGTCCTTGGGATAGTATCGAAACCTCCCCTGACGTTGGATCGGGACACACCCACAATCTGAGCTTTAAAGGGGTGGAATTGGAGTCCCCCTACCTCCTGCTTGGAGGTGACAGGGATGCAGCACAGGTTGGGGATGTGCAGCTCCTCACTGGCCAAGCTGACCCGACGGATCTCCAGCTTGGCCTGACGGATCTCCAGCTTGGCCCTGTGCTCCGGCTGGCCAGCCAGCAGATCCCGCAGGGATTTGTTGTACATCTCCAGGAAGCTGGCGGTGAAACCATACTGCCCGCCAGCATCACGCTGAGCCCCCAAAACCCCAGAAATCCCCCCCAAATGGAATTAACACTATTTTTTTATACACTTCCCAGCCTTTTTCTGCCAGCTCCCAGGCTCCCTGGAAGACCTGCTGCACTGCCCGCGGGATCACACCCCTGGTTCTGGATCCAGCGTGTCCAGCCTCTCCATGGTGTAGGTCTGCCCGCTGCTCATCTGCGAAGATGCACACATGGTGTCCATCCAGCACCAACTGCGAGGGGGAAATGGAGGTGAGGAGGGCTGGTTTTGCAGTTCTTGGGGGGTCTCCCCTCACCTGCACCAGCAACGCGATCTCCTCAAAGGTCTCTTGCTGCCAGGCAGGTGGAAGGAAGATGAAATCACAGATGAAGTGGACGTTGCCTTGGTGCTTGCACCCTACGTGAGATTTTGGGGGTGTAAAAGGGGTTTGGGGGGGTCCCCAACTCTGTCCTCACCCCCCCAGGTGAGCGTGAGTGGCTAAAACCCACCTTTTGTCCTTAAAAAAAAATCTCATTTTTATAGGCGCTGGTGCTGATTCAGCCCATCAGAGGGGGACTAATGACAGCTGAGGAGTCTGTTAGCAGCAGAGACACCCTTAGCCCCCCCCCACCCCAAACTGGGGTAAGCAAGGGGGGGGGGAACCCCCAAAGCAACTCACCTCCTCTGGTCTGGAGAGCACCACGACCTTGTTGTCCTTGGAGGGGAAGTGAAGATGCTCCAGGCCCTTTTGCCGCTCCTCCTCCTCAGGCAGCAGTGTCTGCACACAGCAGAAGGCACAGATGTTGCCCTGGGGAAGGAGAGAAGCTGTGATTTGGGGGTCAGATATTCCTGCCCCCAAAACCCTCCCCGGGCTTCGCCTTGAGCTGCCGGGCGAGGTGAGCTGTTCCTCCTGCTGCCTCAGCCGCTGCTCCTGCCACCCCCCCAGCACCCACCCAGGTGTCTGAGACGCTCCTAGGCTGCCCCAGATGCCTGGGGTTGTCCCCCACAACAAAATTGGTGTCAAAGGAGGCAGCTGTGGGGTGTCTGTGGGGCTGGAGAGGGTCTGTAGGGACTGGGGGATCCTATAGGGCTGGGGGGGTCCCTATGGAGCTCGGGGGGCTTTATAGGGCTGGGGGGGGGGGGTTTTTGGGCCAGGGCCCAAAGCCGTGGGCAAAAAGAGCCG